TCCCGCCGCTTGGTAACGTCAGCGCGCGCGCGCCCAGCAGGACTACATCTCCCAGGAGGCTCCGCGCCTCGCAGGAAAAACCGCCTCGACAGCGGAGGACTACATTACCCAGTGACACCTTGTGGGCGCTGTTGGCGGGGCGGGAAGACTGTACAACCATTGGTCCAATGTCTACCGGAAGCTGCACGGTGGTTGGCCCGGGAGCCCGTCAATTACTGCTGGGCTCAGTTTAGTTTTGCTGTTAGACTGCGTGAGGAGGGAGGGGAGAGCGGCGCTGGTGGAGCCGGGCGGTGCCCTCCGGGCAGCGTGAGTGACCTCTTCCCCCGCCCCCCTCGCCGTCCGCTCGGACACCTGTGCCCTGGCCCCGGGAGGGAGCACACGTGCGCAGGTATTCACGCGGGGGCGGGGACCGTAGGCACGTGTGTCGGGCCTGACCTGAGACTCCTCTTCAGGGACCCCGCACACACCCGGGGCACCTGTGCACGCCGGTGCCCACCTCGCGGGCGTTTTCTCGGACTCTGGGAGCAGAAACCCTGCCTGAGGCCACCTAGATAGATACCTGTGTGTACACGCGGGTACGGCGGCGGAGACCCGGAGCCGGACACACGGGCGGCGGGGCGCCCGCAGTGAGAGGAGGGGGTGGCGGGGCAAACTCTCACCCGCCCCCCAACCTGCCACACACCGGCGGCCCCCACCTCTGGGTGCTGCGTTACAGATAAAACATAATCATATTTCATTTCGTCTCTTTAGATAAAATCAAGGATTGTTGCTACAAGAAGGACATTTTGAACAGCAGAAAAAGTAAGGCCACCGCTGGACTATGTTTAGCCTTTTCACGTGTCTAAGACTTTTTTCCGTTTTACAAAACTTATCCCATGTGGTATCTTGCGTGAGCCTGGCAGCAATCCGGGCTAGGCAGGGCAGACACCATTCCCACTTTCCACAAGAGAAAACTAAGCCCGGGTTAAATGAACCTGCCCAAGGTACATGGGAGAGGCAGAGCTTCTTGGTCTGCGGTGGCAGGTTATGTCCAGCTAGGCAGAGCTGCTTATTTATAGAAATACCTCCTTTCCCTCAGGGCTGTGACCTGAGCAGTCCCTGGGGAACCTGGGGAGGGGCTCTCCCTCTCAGCCTTCTACCCTGTGTTTAAACTGCTCCTCACAGGTGCCTGGGGGAAAGCAGCTTGAGTTAAAGTGAGGGAAGTCGATGGGAAAGGCCAGGTGTCCCTCTTTGAGGGAATCAGCGAAGGTACATTTCTGGCAGGGGTTGGGTTTCACACCATCAAACTTTTAATAAAATATCATTTTAGAATACTTTGCTGATAGAACTCCATGGAAATCTCGTGTTGGTTTTGAGGGTGGATTGGAGTGCTACTTTGGTATTTTCAGAAAAGCGAGGGGTTGGGGCTGAGAGAGTGGAACAGAGTTCCAGGCTGGGTGAGAAGAGAAAAAAAAAGTCAATGGTGGGCCTTGGCAGGTGTGGTGTGACTTTGTCCCATGCACTGAAAGGTGGTCAGTTCAATTCCTGGTCAGGATACATGCCCAGGCTGTAGGCTCAATCGTGCAGGGGGCAGCCCATCAATGTTTCTCTCCCCCTTCCTCTCTCTCTAAAAATCAATAATAAAAAAAAGAATCAATGGTGGGGTGAAGGCTGTCACTGTGTGGTCACTGACTTCCCTGTTACTACAGGTATTCAAGACCTAGGTTAATTCTAAGGTCCCTTCTAAAATAACTTTATATTTAGTTTTAGTTGGAATTTTTTGGGAGCTATAGCAAACCCAGAAAATATAGAATTGTATTAAGAAAAAGGGAGAGATCTACCTTCCCTCTTCCCTTGCCAAGCCTTCCCCCAAAGGTAACCCTACCGACCTGGGTGGGG